GGGATAGACCCGGGGTGCTCATGAAATGAAAAACATTTTATCTACTTCTCAGGAAAATGGGTAAATTTTGGAATATTAGGAAGTATGCAATAAAATTTTTAGGACATAACTGTTGCACTTGTAGATACTGTCAGATGGTTCTCTTAAAGATTTGTTGCTGGCTGCATCGTACTAGTCCAATTGTTTGCCTATTGCACGATTTTCAAAAAGGCAAAAGTGTTGTGGAACACAATTGAACAAGACCAAGATTGAGAGAGAGAGAGAGCAAATTTGGAGGGACCAAATATCAATTTTTTCAATATCAATGTTTAAGTATTACAATGTAAAACCTTCTTTATTTGGGTTTAAACTAATCAAATTTAGGTAGGAAACATTTAATTAAATAATAGAAAATCTATTAAATAAAACCTTAAATTATGTTTCCTATAGTAAGTGCCCTATTTGGAAAGTATTCCATATAATATCTCTACTGTGATTTCCATAAAAAAGATTCAAGTTTTTGGCATTTCGTGGATTAATAAGGCATGACACATTTCAAATCAAGTTTTCCTTTTTGCCAAAATTACTTAAATGTACAGCGTGATGTGTATGTGTGGTTATCCTCCTTTTTTACAGGTTAGAGAGGGAGGGTATGATCACAAGGTGAATGAGACTGTCAGTGTTGTGACTGCAAAGACATCAGAAATCGGACAAAAGACTTGGGGAATCATGAAAGGGGTAATGGCTCTAGCTTCACAAAAGGTTGAGGAATACACCAAAGATGGATCTGGCTGGAAGAATGATGGCTGGCAACGGAACGAGAGCGAAAGAAACGGTTACTTTCAGGAGTTTGGAGAGGAATCTAAAGGATGGAATCATTCTCCTGGAGTGCAACAGTCATCTGGTCGACAATTTAACTCTGTCAGCTCTGGCTCCTGGGATGATTGGGATAGTAAAGACAAGAAAGAAGAATCGTCTAAGGGAACAATGCACCACGATGGAGATAGCTGGGCAGGATGGGATGATGCAAAAGATGACGGATCTGATAATTACCATCAAAGTGCATCTGATCACAAGGCTATCGGTTATAATGGAAAATCGGATAACAAGTGGTCAGAGGGAGGTTTTCTTTAAGGTTAGCATATCTCATTCACAATTATTTTTCAAAAAAATTTCCCTTCCAAATTTAGCGCTGTCTTTTAGACTTGTTGGAAGGCTTGTGTGTTCAAGAGAGTTTAAAATTGCCCCCAAAGTGTGTGTAATGCTTGATTTGTACTGCCAGGATAGTTCTTTTGTGGGTTTCAAAATTAAGACAGCATTCTGATTTATATTGAAATTAGTTGCTTTTTTAATGTTTCTTTAGTATGTATACTTTGATCATTAGTCAAGCTGCTCAAGTACTCTGCTTGGGTTTAGTTTGTTATGGCGTGTAAATAATTCTACTGATAGTGATGCAGGTGCTTATAACTTGTTAACGAACAAGAGAAAGAGCAGATAAGAAAGGGAGAAAGGGAAGGAGAATTAGATAGACAGGGGGGAGGGATAGAAAGGGAGAAATGAGGGCAGGAGAATCGATTTATTTCATATATCAAGGTAATGAATTACATCGCACATGACTCCTTTAATATAGGATTTCAAAAGACTCTATTCTAAGTGAGAAAATAATATAAAAGATTATAAAACAAACCCTAATAATGTTTCCTAAAATATGCATTCAAAATGCAAATCAAATATAGTAACATCCCTTCTAATTCTCCGAGTCTTTTCCTGGTTTGTCCGTGACTGTTGGTAAGAAATAAGTTCGTATAGAATGAATGGTCCATTTTCCCCAGTTTCAGAAGGGTTTGAAGAAGGATGATTAGAAATCATCATTGTATTCATT